TCTTGAAATAGAGAATATGATAACAAGTCATTAAAATACTCATTACCAATATCCTCCATTGACTTAGAACTTCCTTCAAGTGATTGAATAAATCCTTCAGCCATCCAAAGCTCAATTAGTATCTTCCTTTGCATGACATAATCCTTTGGAAAAATTGAACAAAATGCAAAACATTGTTTCAAAGCTGGTTCTGGTAATCTATCAAAACTTAATCGTAAGATAGATAAGATCCTAGCTTCCCCCTCTGGTAATTCCCATACATTCATATTTTTAATTGACAACCAATAATCTTTACTCATGTTATTACGCAAGATTCCCCCAATAACATTTGCAACTAAAGGCACACCTCTGCATTTTGTAGCAATCTCGCCTGCAATTACTTCCAAGCCCACATGTGAAGGTATTGGAGAGTCTCCAAAAGCCCTTTGCTTGATTATAGACAAACATTTATCATCCTCCAGCTCCTTGAGATGATGCTTGTGATCAGCAATTGATGCTACCTTTTCATCTCGAGTAGTCACAACAATCCGACTCCTCAAATTGTTACCCATTGCTAACAGACTCCTCCTTAATTCTTCCCAGTTTTCCAAGTTCCACACATCATCTAATATGAGAAGAAAATTTTTTTTGGCCAGCTCATTTCGGATGTTTTGAATAACAGTATCCACATTTGTAATATTTCCACAAGCACGTCCAGTCACAGACTCTAACATCTCCTTTAAAATTCTTTCCAAATCAAAATTTTCAGATACACAAACCCATATTATTTTAGCAAATTCCTTTTTGATGCGCTCATTGTTGCGCACAGATTGTGCTAAAGTGGTTTTACCAAGACCACCCATACCTACAATAGATACAACCCAAAGGGGTTGTTGATTAGCAGAGTCTGTTAGCAACTCCACTATTCTGGAGACTTCATAATCTCTCCCCACAACTTGTGACAGATCACAAAAAGAGTGAGTTTGTGGGTTTCTTCTTCTATGTTCTGAATTCAGGCCACCAGGTATGGGTTGAAGTCTCAAACCTTGGGCCTCCTTGTTAATATCATCCACAGAGGAAATAATATTTTTAATCTTCTTAGCCATCTTCATCTGAAATATAAGAGGATTGGAGAGGGAAAAGAAGTAGCACACCTTTCTCCTCATATGGTTTTGAATTTCTATTTTGCATTTCAAATTTTCGTAGGCAACCTCGTCCAGCACGTCGTCAGCATCACGAGCCGCATCTCTCAGCCTCTCTAGCCACAGCTTGACAGCGGATTCTGTCACCTGCCTTCTTCCTGCATCTTGCAACAAAGCTTGGATTATGGTTAGTCTGCCCTTAAGCCTCCTAAGCTCCTCCTTCCAGCTCACCGCAAGGTTGATTTGATCGGCAATAGCAGAAATCAGCTTCTTTATTGTGACATCTACAATGGGAGTGAGGAAAAGTTCAGCCATTTGTGCTAGAATTGGTGGTGGGAGAAAAGATATGTTATCGGAGAGTTTGTATGCAAAGTAAGAGAAGAGAACAATGTTCTGGTGCATATAATGACTGCAATTTGCAAAAGAAAAGAGAGAAGAACAATTTTCTTTGTAAACAAACAATATTCCTTTTCTTCGGAAAAAGAAAAGAATAGTGTCCCTTTCTTTTATGGAAGAAAAGAATAATGCCTTGGTACATATGATTACGTTAAGGTTTATTCCTTACATAAAGTCATGGAATGCACTTTTTAATTTCTTATTCAGGGTGTACATCCTTTTATTTTAATTTAGTCTGTAATTATAATTATATAAGTGATCAATAAAATTTAGATAAATACCTATAGACTATTGTTAATGAATTATGTATTTATCTTTCATAGACCACATTAAGTTGAAGCTGATCATAGAATATTTGAACAAAAAGGATTTTGTTTTTTATTGTTAAGCTGTGTTGTAATTTTAGATTTTTTTTTTTGTTTTTACTATTTTTAAGATATATTAATTAAGATTAATTAAAATATTAAAAAAATAAAATAAAATTGCATATTTTTAGATAAAGCAACGTGTAAAAAAGCCTATACAAAACAGGGTCAGACGAAGTGAAAACCAGAACAGCAGACCATAAAGAGGAGAAGAAATCTTAAAAAGACCAAGAACAAATGCCCAAAAAAAAAAAAAAGGTCAGTGACTCCAAATAAAGAAAAAGGTCTATAATGTACATCAAAAAAAAGAAAAAGGTCTATAATGAAACGGCGTTGTCATTTCTAGGTGTTTGACCAATTCTTGGTACTTGGAATGGAATTGCTTTATCTTAACATAATAAATATGTTAAAAAAATGGTTATTGACATCCCGGGGGACAGCTCAGTTCCGAGAGCGTCAGACTGAAAATCTGAAAGTCGCATGCCCGATCCACAATCGTCACAATTTTAATTACAGAATAAAATTTCAAGTTTCCCCTTCTTTTTTTTGGCGAATTAGCCATTTAGTTTAGCCTATTAAAATAGGCCCAGTGGACTCTGTTGTTAACGAGATTTAAAGCAGATGGATTGATTCCAATAGTATAGGCCCGCAAAACACTAAAAAGCTAGTATAAAAACGAAATGTAGGCTCACCAGGGACCTGGATTAATATAAACAAAACAGAATATATCCTGCACCAGGGCTACCGGCCCACTTGGTAATGGTGCACCCTAGCATTTCCAGTACTTGGGTTACTCCCCCACCCCGCAAATTGGAATAAGTTCAAACAAATAAAAATGTAACCTAGTCCTGCCGTAGAAACAGAAATTGTAACTAGGTCGTTTTGAATTATTAGGAGGTCCTGTTTTTTCAAAATTCCTAAATTTAATTACATAGAAACTGATATATATATATATATTTAGAGGAAATGAGAGTATTTTTTTTCTCATCTACTACTACCATTTGAAGTTGGAGGTAAGCATGGCAATTTCTCCTTATCCGAGGGAATCCCCATCACGGGGGGAGGGGTTGGGATCTTATTTCTTTCAAAAATTTAAAAAATAAAGAAAAAATATTAGTAAATTAAACACAATTTAAATATTTAATTTATAGTTGTAGGTATACTCATTACTCATTTTTAATTTTAATCTAATACTAAATTATTTTAAACCAAACCAAACTCAACACTCTCTATCTATTTTAACTCAAGTATTTAAAATATTTTATTTTAAGATAATAAATTAAAAATAATTAAATTAACTTGTTAATATAGATTAGCAAGATGTGGTGGATTCCTGTAGGTAACGGATAGGGACGGAGCAAGACCTTTGAATAAAAGGAGTAAAAGTTTAAAATTTATATTAATATGCTAGGCCTAGAGCACACATATGCTATCTTACTATGGCTTTTAACAAATTTATAAAAGAAATTAGCCTTCGAACAACAGAATTGGTGCCTAGCTGAATTTTTTAGGAGGGTGAATGTCCACTGTATGATTTTATGTAACATCTGGTGCTTATTAAATAAGATATCAACACTCCATAACGATATTAAAGAAGTTGGACATTACTAAAACCATATATTATATAATAATATATAAATTTATAATGTCCAGAAAAGAGAAAAGAAAAATGCTTTATAAATGTCTGATCAACTATTGCCTGATTGTAGATGATACCTACTGGGAAATATTGTCAAACTTGTCATTCCTACGACCACCTTGGCAAGTAGCAACAAAATGGTCTTTGCACTCAGAAAGCAGCTTGGACAAATTCCCGTGATTGGAGAGCTTGGGCTTGATCAGCAATATAGTGCGTTTGGCCTCTACATTTTAAGAGACAGTGGCACTATTTCTTTTGAATCTATAAAGCCGCAAAAGATTACTAACCATGTCAAAAACAACTTTGGAAGAAATTATAAGTTAAGAAAGTATTTATGCATGGTAATTTGATAAAGATACTTAATAGAGACAAATAATTGTTCTGAAAGCTCAACCCATTAGGTGGGAGCTGGTCTAAGAGATTTAGAATCCCTTTTGTACACAACCTATTAAACAAAGATGTAATAGCCACAATCATGCTCCTTCAACATAAAACCACCAAAGTAATAAATATCAGTAATGTAGCAACCATAGTACCTATTTACATTGCCAAATCCTCAAGAAAGATGGGTGTCTACTTGGCAGCTGTATTGGGTTGGCAGTCACACATGGTTAATGACATAAATTACCAAATAGTAATGATCATTTATAAAGAAATATTATGGTGAAAAAAAGGAGTCGAGGATTGAAATGAAATATACCTAATTTCTAGAAGGGCAAAAAAATTTTTAGGATAGATACAGGACATACTCCAAGCTGGGTAAAATTGAGCACCTTTAAAAACACAATATTCAAATTTTGAAGCATAAGACCATGCTCATTTCAAATCAAATGCTATTTCATATATAACAAACAAGACCCAGATAAGATCTAGAAAGCATATACCAGAATCATCATCTTTTGCTTAGTGAAGCTGCTTTCTCTCCATTCCTCTGCTACTGCTTGCTTAGAGGATGAAGATCTGTTAGATGTTTTTAACTTCTACGGCCAATGACATAAAAACATACAATGTATACACATATCTACGGACTCTTACAACAGATATCTTAGCTAAATCAACATTTACAAAACCCAGTAAGTGTTTTGCATTCTCTCGTAGAAATTAAAACAAACAATGGTACAAAGACAATATCCTCACCATAACATAAGTCCAGGAAATACAATGCTACAAATAAAGAAGGAGAAGAAGATTGAAAACAAATCCTATTTTCCTAGTAAAAGTCTCCAGAGAGACGGTGTCAAATAATCTCAGGTTCTTTGGAACTTGAATTCTACGCCTGCAACAATAAAGTGCAGTACACTGTTATGTATGTATCAAGTCTTTGGTATACAAGAACATTTTTTTCAATGGGAAATAATCTAATGCTGATCCAAGGGCCAATTTAAAGATGGAGAATGAAGTGGGGAGTAGTTAGTAATGGTAAATTTTTTTCGACATTTAAATTGATCTCTAAATAATAATAATCTAACATTGTTAAAAGAACATATCAAAGGAAGTAAGGAATGCAACAGATTTCACACTAAAATTCATGTATTGATTGATCTATTTACGTCACAATCAATGTTGTGAAATCAATACAGTCTACTAAGAAGTCAGAAACAAGCATAATAATAGAGAGCTAATCCCCCCTAGATCAAAATCCTCACTTCGGAAAAAAATAGCAGTTTACCCTTTACAATATTTGGAGTTTATTGAGTCTATGTAGTTTAGTAATAGGGAATTTAAAAGCTTTTACTTTTGAAATTTAGAAATGATTCATAACTTAACAAAATAATGAAGACTTGAGTGAATTATTTTCAGGGAACTTATAAAGAAATGATGTAGCAGAAGCACAACAATGAAGATACCTCATGATATTATGAGAGAAGAAAAAAGTATTGATAATTTGTGAAGAATTGCAGTTGGGATTTGAGAATGAGACTTACCTCTTCTTGCCACTTTGGAACCTCAATCTTGGGAATGGATGATCTCTGACCATAATTAAATAGATGTCTGGATGGGAGAAATTTTGGGACACTCAGAACCGTTTTCCTTGGGCCAACTTTCCTTTAACCGAGGGCAATCTTCACTTTTGAGCTCTATCAATTTGTTGAGGCGAGGAATGGCTTTTGCAGAAGCAAACATTTCAGATTCTGGCAATAGTCAATCACAAGACTTTCAAGAGAGGATAAATTTCCCAGCCACTCCGGTAAAGCATCCAATTTGCTAAATCTTCGAATTTCCAATTCCTTTAAAGCAGTGAGGTGTTGAATTTGATGTGGAAGCTGAGTTAGTTTTTTCCAATTGACCAAACTCAACTTTTCAAGGGAGGCGTGGATGGGCAGAACAAAGTTGAAATCTGGGGATTCCTCCAGCTTTTTTGAGAAACCACCAATACACAATTCCTTCAAGCCAAGAGGAAGGTACGTGGCTCCAAGACTCTCCAACTTAGGACAATCCAATATTTTTATTTGTTCAAGGGAAATTTTTTCAAATGCTCCATCAACAACACTAGTTAATTCCCTACAATCCCAAATTTTAAGCTGCTTAAGAGATGAAAGCCCGCTGATCACTAGAATGCCATTTAGCTTTCTGCAACTTTGAATGCTCAGCTTCACCAAATTGAAATTGTTGGGTGAGAACAATTCATTGCTACTCAACATCCATGATGGCAGGTTTGTACCTCCATAACAATCAATTACTAATCTCTGCAGATTTGGGTGAGGTCGGAGGCCTTCCAAAACCTCTTCATCATGATTGCCTTCTAATTCTAATGCACTCCGGTCGTGTTCCCACCTTAATTCCAACTTGTCAACTGCCTTCTCATGTAATTTTGCTGGCTTTGCTTCTGATTTGTCTTTAACAAGCTCGGGATTCAAGATATCCAAACTTCCCTTGAGTCTGCTTAAGCTGCCCAATTCTTCAATTTTAAGGCCCTTTCTTGTACTCACATAGAAGGATCCCAACATTTGAAGACTAGTTAGACTCCCAATGTTTGCAGGCATGGTATCTCTGTCACTGAAGTGAATATGCCTCAAGTTGATTAAATAGCCAATTCCTTCTGAAGGCATTTTTAGAAATTCACAATCCATGAATCTAAATGTTTGCAAATTATACAACTTGTTGATGGAATTGGGTAACTCTTTTATTTTAGTTTCTGAAATGTCCAAGAACCTCAAACTCTTCATGTTATCAAAATAAAAAGGTAATTCTTCAATATTAGCACCACAGAGATTGAGAACTTGTAGCCTTTTAAGATCTGTATGCATACCATTGAAGAATCATGTTTTGAAAATAAAGTGTGCAAGTTTTGAGCAACATCTCCTAAAATTGCAGGCACCATTTCCCCACCATAAATGAGATTCAAATGTTGAACATTATTAGGAATGTTGCGCTTGGATCTAGTTTCCAAAATCAACATCTCGTGTTTTGAACCAGATTGAGCAAGATCATGAATTAAATCATGCATTTTGCATGTACTAACATTCCCATTATATGTTTCCTCAACTTGAAATAGAGAATATAATAACAAATCATTGAAATACTCATTACCAATATCCTCCATTGACTTGAAACTTCCTTCAGGTGACTGAATAAATCCTTCAGCCATCCAAAGCTCAATTAGTACCTCCCTTTGCATGACATAATCCTTTGGAAAAATTGAACAGAATGCAAAACATTG